GCTCAGAGCATTAACTGACCTGAACGGGCATGCATGTTCAGTTTTACAGCCCCATTCTTGATAACTCTAAGTCAGAGTCTTCTCATGGGAAAAGAAGTCCTAAAACTAGGAAATGGCAGAGATGGGACTTGGAACAGTTTTTAAACCAAGTATACCATTAAGGACAACCAACAATTCACTTATGACATTGTAGCCTGAACACACATACAGCACACTCCTGGACCCACAGCTTTTAACCTGTCAACAGAAAACACTGTGATCAGGGCAGACCTGGGCCACAGCCTGCAATGGGGTGATCAGGCTGCTGTGCTGAATCTGGATGTCAGGAAGGTCTCCAAGACGGTAACTTCTGTACAGAACAACCCTGGCATCCTGCTTCATTTTTAACTCACTCTTGATCTCCTATAATCACCAGAAACAAAGAAGGAACATTAGAATTCTATTTAAGAAAATCAAATGAAATTGCCAGGATCCATTTTTAACATAAAGATAAAAGGACAACCATTTTTATTCACACTGGTTTAGTCGTTATACCTTACCAGTTTATAATAAATGATAAATCCACAATAAAATTACTATGGCAGATAAGCAGTGAAAAGGTTATTTAAATATTCATTATGAAGTAATCTGAATATTAATAAATCAGAAGATTTGATTCCAAACTTTTAAGAAATATAACTGTGGTTCCTTTTAATTCCTCTAAGAGTAAGCCTTGGCTCCAAGGCCCAGAGTGATGTGATGCCTCCACCCTGCCTAGAATACATCTTCAGCTTTTCCTTCAACATTGAGGAACCATCTTAGTATTATCTCTCCAGAGAGAATTCTACCACCTCTTAACCCAGGACTTTCCCAGATGTGCTCATTACTTGGTTTATTTCTGACATTACACATTATAACTTCAACTTATTTTTCTGTCTGTTCGTGCACTGGACTGACTTCACAAGGGTTTATATTCTGCTCACTTCTACAACACAGTGCCTGGTACTGAGTAAAATGCTCCAGACTTATTTGTTCAATGAATATATGACCACAAACGCCCAGCCTTCAGATGTCTAATTATTTCAATGCCACCCAATTACTGGGCAAATAGCTTCACACTTGAATGTCCATGTCAGAAGAAATGCATGACCACACACAGTAAGTAACTACACTGATCAATTATTACAAACTCTTCTTTGTATCAGGCCAAAATGTTATCTGCAACATCTACCCAGTAATCCTGGTTTCACTTCCTTCTACTGACCACACATTACTATTTCCTTCAGGCAGGCCTTGTTAGGTTTCAAGTTTAATCAGGAGCCCCGATTTCTCTGAGGAAGTAACGGAGCAAGAGAGGGTCCTAAGTACACTCTGAATTTAGACCCTACTCCTCAAAAGAATGGTTGTAATTAGAGTCAAGAAGATGAAAAGTACATTTTCTCCTCACAAAAGAGTCTGAGGAACCATTCAACTGCTTCATACATTTAGAAATAGTTGAAGGTTTACAATGAATTGGAGTAATGAAAGGGATTTTAATTCACTATCTACACTTTCTTGGAAATTTTGTCGTATTTACTGATTTAAGCAAAACTGAAGCTACAGTTAAACAAATTTTTTTCATTATTTTTTTCTTTTGTGGTTCTAGAGATTTAACCAGGGATGTTCTACTCTCAATTTTCATGTTTATTTTGACAGTCTCTCACTTAGTTCCTTAAGCTAGTCTCCAACTTGTGATTTTCTTGCCTTAAGCCTCCCAAATCACTTGGGATTGATTACAGGCATATGCCACTGCACTCAGCCATTATTTATACATTTTGAGAAACGTGTAAAATTAATTCATGCCATACCTGTGTCTCTAATCACACCTTCATCAGAGGTGTCTGGATTTTCTGGTAACCCAGCTTACTTGGTCCTTAGGGCTGCCATCCCCTCCCTGTCCCATGGCCTCAGTCTAACCCCAGTTGTGGGCCTCAACCAAAGATGGGCCCTCTGGCCTTGTGGCAGAGAGCTGGGTTAATCCCTTCCCAGACCAGCTGATGCTGTAGGATATAAAATCAAGGAATAAACAGTGGTCATGTTTCCACCTGTAGGAAAAACTGAACTATAGAGAGGCAAGTGTGAAGCTAAGCTGCACTGAATAGCAGAAAGAGGAAAAGCCAGATCCTAGCAGTATGTGAACCAAGTAGAACACAGACTCAGGAGAATGAAGATTCTCATCAGACATCATGAGCACCCTTCACAACTGAGATATCAAAGGAGCTATGGTTCACATGTAACCTTAACACACACAGTGCTGTTTATGCAATTTTGGTTTGCAAATCAACACTGGAACCAATATCTGACAGAGCGTTATTTCCTTGTATACATTCTTTGATAGAAAACAGGCATTTCTGACACATTTGTGAAAAAGATACAAACCTTCTCCCATTTTTGATCATCAAGGCCTTTTTTGGCATACATCAAACTGAGTTTTTCTTGGTCCTTTAAAAATCGTCTGCGTAACCTTAGTATTTCTGCTCGGCTGTCTGTGCCTGAAGGACAGAGTGGGGTTGGTTACTGACAGTCAATTCAATATGTGCACTCAGCCTCAACTCCTTCCCAAGAGCTCCTAAAGTAAAAGTGTGCTTTTCTACTTTAATATTTTTACTTAGTATTTTCTTAAAGATATAAACTTAGAAAGAATAGCAAGAGGAGACACAAGATTATTGTGTCTCAGCAATTTTGGAAGCTAAAAGAACAAGAAAGTGAATCTGTGACAGTAGAAGCAAATGTGATTCCATTTTGTTTTATGACTTCATCCTGTAAAACAACCATGCCAAGTAGAAGGGTCATGACTGAGGCAAGATGTTCTTTTCCTTTTTACTATAGAAACCTTTAAGAACACAGAACCACCTAATGGGGCACTGTTTTTGTAACTAGGGTAAGGGGGCTCTGTTTCTGTAACTGGGGTGACTGGGCCAACTGTGATTGGTTAGGCTTCCCACCACTTGACTGCAATCTCCTGCTTCTGTAACCTGGCTTGCTTGAATTGGCTAAACCCCCGAACATCCCTTTTGCGGTTTTTAGGCTTATAAGAGTGCCCTTGCAATTGTTCGTGACTGATCAGGGGAACAGCTTTATGTTCTAGTCAGACACCACCGGTGTGGCTTCAATAAAGGTTTGATTCGATTACATGTGAGTGGTCTGGAAGTCAGTTTATGAAACCCTGGGGCGAAGCTTTAACTATAACAGATCCTGGAGAGAATCTCAAAGGCTCAGGATATGGCTGGACTGGAGAAGGGGCAAAAGTGAAGCTGCAATAGGAGGTACGAAATGAGAGCAGAGTCCCCACATGCATGGCTACAAGGTGGGGAAGGCCAGCCCAGCATCTGCAGTGTCCAAGAGGACTTCTGAAACCGGTAGTGGCCCTGACATGCTAACAGGAGGCCTTTAGCTTACAGGCAGCAAAGTAGGAAGTTTGCCTCTGCGGCAATCAACCAGGAAAGAAGAGCTGATGCATCAGGGGTCTGTGTCATGGTCCACTTCTACCCCATCTTGCACTCACTCAGTCCCAATATGCATTATTCCAAACACCTTTTAAGTGCCCCACCTGGAAACACAAGCCAAAAATCAAAAATCATCAGACATTTGAGGAAAGCTTCAAATATGAAAGACAGAAACCCAAATAAATGATAGTGAAAGAACAACTGTTAAAGTAGACCATGCAGGGAAAAAAAATTCAAACAATTCCCATTTATTAAAAAGATAAAAGTAGGTGCTACAGTTTTGAATCAAGGACTAAAGAAATATTCAGAGATCAAAAACAGCTCATGGAAATTAAAAATATGATACCTCAAAAGGAAGGGTTAGAAGATGAGGTTGAAGATATTTTCTATAAAAAAGACAACAGGAAAAAAAAAGTAGGAAAATTAGAAGGATAATCCAGAGGTCTGATATCTGACCAGTAGGACTCCAAAGAGAAAACAGAGACAAACTGAGGTGAAAAAGTCATCAACAAAAATCAAGATGATATTCTCGAACTAGAAATAGAAGTTTATGGTCCAAAAGGACCCACTTTATGGCCAGAGGAATAGATTAAAGCAGACTTGCATCAAAAGACACTTTTTTGAGTTTTCAGAAAACTGTTTGAAAAGAGATCTGAGGATCTGAGATCCACTGAGAAAAGACACAAGTTCTTACAAAAGATCAATAAGGAGAATGCCATGTCTCTGCTAGTACCTGACAGTTCCCTACCAGGATGTCTACAACTCACCAGGACCCCAGGTGTGCATGCTCTGGAAGGCAATATGGTGGCAACAAGATCTTAAAAAGAACTTCCAGCTTAGGACCCTTTTCTCAGAACACTAAGTTGGAAAACTCAGGTCCAGGGAAGTGAAGGAATCTTCAGGATGAGGAGGGGTCTTTAGATGATGGTTGAGCAGAGGCCCTGGGGCACGCAGGCAGGTAGGGGGAGCCCAAGGACCCAGGAGAGTTTCTTTAAGAAAATGGCTAAGTAAGCCTGGCTTGGTGGCACATGTCATCTGTCATTCCAAAGACTTGGGAAATAGACGCAGGAGGATTGTGAGTTTGAGGCCAGCCTCAACAACTCAGAGAGACCCTGTCTCAAAATAAAAAATAAAAAGAGCTGGGGAAGTAGCTCAGTGGTAAAGCCCCCCTGGGTTCAGTCTTCAGTACCACTCACACAGATACATGCACACAAAAATTAAAAAGATGGGATATCTACATGTTGGGACACAGTAAAAGACAATTACAGAACTCAGGGAAATCTGGTGATAAATATGTAGAAAACTAAAACACATAAACCAAAATAATAACTACTTAGAGAAAAAAATATACAAGACAGAAAAAATCATAGTGTTACTTGTGGCCCAATCACAAATAATGCTACATAGTCAAATAAGAGAAAAACACTAAATACTGATGAAATGAGGACTAGGTGACACAACTGAGCAGGAGGATAGAACATTGGTGGACATGACTGTGTCTCTGTGATAAGCAGGGTGAGGGAGGGAGAAGGGCCAATCCTCAAGTGTTTATCATATAAAACCAGATGAGAATGACTAATACTGAAAGAAAAAGCTTGAAGATACGGAAGAACAAAACTCAGGTAAGTGGGTTATATAAATGGCTGCCTCTGACAAGACAATATGCAGAATTGCTGTTTCTTCTAACAAGCTTTTGAGAAGTGTCTGACTCTTCAAATGATATGCACATATAACTCTGATACAAATAAATAGAGGAATTTACTCATGCTTCTAATCTTCTATAAATCTAAATGCATATATCTAAATATAAATCTAAGTTTTGTCTTGGGATCTTTTTGCTGCACATTTTCTCCCTCTGGACTTCCACTCTGCCAGAGAGTTGCAAGTTTCATAAAGAGCTAAACTCCTCTCTGCCCCACCCTCTTGGCCTTGGTTCTACAAGCCTGCCCAACTTTCCACTGTCACCCTCAGCATTCCACTGTGCTGTTGGGGGCCACCCCACCCACCTTCAAGCCAAGACCCTGGATTATGATACCTCTGCCTTGCCTCTTGGTTCTCCTCCTTCCACTTGCTGTCCCCAAAAATCTCTCTCAGAAAGGGTCAGAATTTTCTTGCTACCTCTGCTTAATTCATCTTGTGGCTGCTTCCCAAAGTTCACTCCATTTCCCATAAGCCTGTCTCCTTCTTCGCCTCCTTCACCATGACTCAGGTCCTAGAGCACCCATTTCCTGAACTAGGGAGGGCCCTTGTGTCCTTGGCATGGAGTCCGCTCTCTGTAAACATTCACTCAACTGCTCTAATTCCCTCCCTCCTGCCAAACACACTGCATACTTCTCCACCTTTCTCCTTTTCATCTTCTGCCTTCCTGCATCCCAGGCTCTCAGGCTCCTCCTTCACCCAGTATTTCTGAACATTCCCTCCCTGGATTTAAATTCTTTCACTTTTGAGATGTGGATTATTAATTCTACCTCATTTGATGATCACCAATATATTGTTGAACCCATCCTAATGTTCTAGAAAGTCACTAAATGAAAGGATGTTATTCCCAATTTTAAAAAGAGTTTTTCTGGAACATCTAAAAAACAATGTTTTTAACATGGTAAGTGCCCAGTCAACATTTACTGAATTGAATTTTAATGTGCTTAATTACAGACTACAAGGAAATGGGGATACACTCAGAAATTCTGCAGTAATTTACAAGGTAAACTATTTTAAACATGCTTCAGCAAGCTTACTTACCATCTTTCACTTTGTTATCCACCTCATCCCCAGGAAGGCCCAGCCTTTTTCCCCCAAAATCAGGTCCCACTGACTTCCAGGGAGCTCTCTGTGACTTTTCCTTCCTCTTGTTGGCAAACAACAAGGAAGAAGACAATGAATCAGATGAAGAGATCGTATAATCTGCCATTGGGTCAATACTGCTCCCAGTCAGCCAATTAAACGAGCTTCTTCCATCTGCAAATACATATGATCAGAGCATTGAGGACTCTTGGCACCACAGCTTAGCCTGTACAGGGCAGCAAACCTGCTGGGGCACACCCAGCAGCATTCAGGCTTCTGTAGCCACCTGAGACATTGGGCAGAGGCTCGGCCAGCTCTCCAATGTGCAACCCAGGGTAGTTCAGATACTTGAGTCTCAGTGTCTACACTTGTAAAATAATGTACTCCTTTGTCCACTGTGATCATGATACTTTGTATCTCCTATAAGGTGCTAGAAGTCCATTATTCCTAAAATTAGTGTTGCAGAATTTTCATTGTGATTATTCAAATTCATCTTATTTCCAGATATAATAGAATGTGAAAACACAATTGTATAAAAGGAAAAATGTTTGAGTGTTTATATAAAATTAAGATTTTTACTCTATAATTTATACTTTGTTTATCAAAAGAAGCAATTAAGCCATTTGAGAAAGAACAAGTTTATTAAATTATTAACACAGTAAATAAATTAGTTTAGCTGTACTTTGCTTGTAAGATAAGATGTTTTAAATTCAATGCACAAATAGTTTTCTGGAGAAAACCAAACCAAAACAAACATTTACTTAAATTGTCCCTTTAGTCAGAAATAATCCTTTTCTCCTTTCAAAAAACATTGTGGTAAAACATACATAATGTTTACCATTTCAGCCATTTTTTAAGTGTACAGTTCAAGGCACTAAGCCCATTCACATCATTACATCCATCTCTAGACCATTTTCCTCTTAAAAACTGACACTCTGTACCCACTATAGTGCCTCATCTCCCTCTTCCTCAGCCTCCAGCAACTACCCCTCTACTTTCTGTCTCTGAGAAGCTATTCTGGGACCTCCATTCTTTTCTCCTTTGACTAATACATCTTTCTTATGGTTTTATGACTTTTTGCTATTCTCACTTGTCTCATAAAAGGTCAGTGTTCTTGCAATAGAAGCTTCCACAAGTCATAGCACTGGGCGACTGGTTACCTGAAGTTTGTGTAGGGGTGAAATCATATTGCTGTTGGGTAGCCCGAACTTGCCCAGCCTTTGGCCACTGAGCTGGAAGGAAGCCTTCCTGGGTTCGGGTCTGCAGAGTGCTTGGGGAGGCCTGGGTCTCAATAAACATTGGAGTGAGAACAGTACTTCGGAAACGCCAATCAGGATCAATGGTATACTCCTGCAAGTAAGAAAGTTTCAAAGGAAATAATGATCCTTCTGTAGCAACATTGAATTATTTCTATTTAAAATCCAATGGTACCATCAGCAGATATGTACTGTCATTTCATATTTCTTTGTGAAAAGCAAGTGAAGAAGAACCTTTTCTTACTTTAAAGTCTCAAAAACAATCATTTGCCAAGTACAAAAATGAATCACTACTGGGGGAGAAAATCATCCTCCTCCCATTAACATTCTCCATTAGGAAGCTGATGCCATACTCAGTAATGGCCATGTCACCATAACCTGACCTCTACAAGTCTAATGACTCAACTCTCCTAAGTACCCAAGAGTGCTAAGCACGGTGACAGGTTACATCTGTAATTGGAAAATCCAAAATGCTACAAAATCTAAAACTTCATGAGCAACAGATAACAAGGTGCTACAAGTGGAAAATTCCACACCTGACTTTCTATGACAGGTCATGGCCAAAATGCAGGCCTGTTAAAAAAACTATAAATTTATCTTCAGGCTGTGTATAAGGGGAGTATGAAACATAAATTAATTTTGTATCCCTCCCCCAACCAAAGATATCTCATAATATAGCTCCCCCAAGAATTTTTTTATATTGTATTTATTTATTTTTATGTGGTGCTGAGGATCGAACCCAGGGCCTTGCACATGCTAGGCAAGCACTCTACCACTAAGCCCCAACCCCAGCCCCTCCCCCTAGAATTTTGAAATCCAAACCAATTCTGATCCCAAGCATTTCAGATAAGGGATCCTCAACCTGAACTAGGTTACAACTCAGACCCCCCACTACAGTAATGTCCTTGTCGATGTGTACCACATGGTGATTGTTATAGCTGCTATGAGAAACCACGAACTTGGCACCCACTGGGTAGGCAGGAGTAGTACTAGGAAGGGGAGAAAGAAATCCAATTGCAGTGTGAGGCTGACATTTATGAGCCTCTAAGAAGCAGGGCAGCACATGTAAGTATCTCATAAAGTATGCACATATTTCAAGAAAATTAAGTTTTCTCATTAAGCCATTAGGTGTTTCCTAGCTAACCAACAGGAAAAGAAAGTATGAATACAGAGGTAAGTACTTCACCTGAAATGTGCATTCTGACAGAGGATGTTCAAACATGGGGTTTGGATAATCTGGGCTCATGCTGGTCATTTCAAGAAGAAAATTTGTTGCTAAGCTTAAAAAGTGAACTTCTATCTTAGGTGAATATAAGGAATTTAGTGCTAATAATCGGTCCAAGGTATTTGAAGGTAACCTAGTTTCATGACTCCAGAAATTCCGAATAATTAATCTGAAAATCAGAGAGGAAGAAAGCACATTCTTATACACTGGCAAATAAAAAAAGGTGCTGCACATGGTGTCATGTGGGGTAGGCACAGAAAGATTTACAGAGAAAGAAACCACATGTATAAAGAGTATAATCTGAGTTATAAAAAATAACATGGGTTGAAGGAAAAACACATATCCCCAAAATGTATCACATTTAACTGGTACTTTTCTTCTCCTATTCTCTGGGAAGTTTTTTTTTTTTTTTTTTTTGGTGGTGATAGGGATTGAACCCAGGGCCTTAAGCATGGAAGGCAGGTGCCCTACCAACAATGCACTCCAAAAATTACTACCAAAACTTTTTTACAACATTAGCCAAAAATCAGTTCAGGTATTATAATTTATGAATGTTTATGAAATTCAAATGTAATTTTTAAAAAATATTTATTTTTTAGTTTTTTAGGTGGACACAATATCTTTATTTTATTTTTATGTGATGCTGAGGATCAAACCCAGTGCCTCGCGCATGCCAGGTGGGAACGCTACCACCTGAGCCATATCCCCAGCCCTTTTTTTTTTTTTTGATACCAGGGATTGAACTCAGGGGCACTCATTCACTGAGCCACATCCCCAGTCCTATTTTGTATTTTATTTAGAGACAGGGTCTCACTGAGTTGCTTAGCACCTTGCTTTTGCTGAGGCTGGCTTTGAACTTGCGATTCTTCTGTCTCAGCCTCCTGAGGTGCTAGGATTATAGGTGTGCACCACTGTGAATCCAAATATAATTTTTAAAAACTCAATGAGTTTAAATTGTAGAATAGAAAAAAAATCAGTGATAAATCACATAAAAAGTTGATGTCTCTTAGATGTTTTGGTACTTGGTAAGATACTCATAGACTTTCTCTTCATTTTGAAACACTGTAACTCACTGAGTACAGAGTGCTTTGTCCTCACCAGTTTTATTTTAAAGTAATTTGTCAGGATTTTAAAAAGATTTTTTTTAGTTGTAGTTGGACACAATACCTTTATTTTATTTATTTATTTTTATGTGGTGCTCAGGATCAGACTCAGTGTCTCACACTCTTCATAATGTGATTTTAAATACATTTTTACTAAACATTATGAAATGCAAGATGTAGAGAAAATGCTGACACTACAAATACATTTGTAAAACTACTGAGATATGCTCAAATCTGGTCTAGAAAGCAATACTCCTAAAATTTAATTATTTTGGCCCAATTATTCCAGAGGAACACTTACTGAAGCCCAAGGTTCTCATCAATCAATCCTTGAATCAGCACATCTTTTGCCAACTTAAATAATTCCTGGGAGTCATCATCTGTTTGACTTTCTGGATCTCTGAGAAAGCAAAAAAAAAAAAAAAGAAAAAAAGAAAAGAAAAACATTAATACTCCATTCTAGTTCTTTTGTTCAATCTAATCACTGTCTTAGAATTGAAGGAAGAAGGCTGACTTGTCATGGGACTGTCCCTCCCATTGGCACAGTGGGCACCTTACTCTGGGAGTGTAGGCCAGACCTGCCCCGTTCTCTAGTGACTCTTACTCCTGTCACTGCTGTCAGAAGGGGAAGGGAAAGGAGCAGGAAAGGTGAGGGTCCCCCAGGGATGTGGGGTCCTGGCAGAGGCATCTCCTCAATTTTGTCAGATTTTAAAAGGATAACTACAAAAATAAGTTTTATGAGGACACTCGGGTACTTTTAACTCAACCAATAATTTCATTCTCTGAATATTTCCTACTCATACATGAAATAAGTTAAAATAAGAAAACAATATACTAAATTATATGACTAAAAAATGTTTTATTATGTTCCAGATTGCTAAATATACCCAAAAGATCCCTCAAAAAAGAAATATAAAATGTCAATGTATGGTTTACCTATAATTGTCATGAATCCACATGAGAATATTATACATTTGTTCCCTACAAATTGGAGAAGGATGGGAAACAAATTCCACAATAGGATTCAGAAGTTCTCGGAGTTCTACTGGTTTCAATTTTGCCAACATCTTATAAATTATGTCCAAACATACTTTTTGTCTTTCATCGTCTCTATAATAAAAATTTAAAATGCACCAATTTAACATTATAATACTTTCGAAGCATGACAAACAATGTTTTCTTTTTTCTGGTGTTCTACAGTTTCAAAATTTGTTATGATATTGCCATCACCATAAAAAGAGGGGGAAAAAACTGTTATAATACTACACCTACAAGACAACAATTAAATATACTAAAATGGATTGGACTCTGAAATAGAAAAAAAAGACATGAGTAAAATGCAAATAAGGTTTCACTTATTTATCAGTAGTGTGCTAATGTTACTTTCTTTGTTTTGACAACTACACCATTATTAAAAATGGGGACACTGGGTGAAAGATGTGGGAATTCTGTAGACTATCTTTTAACTATTCTGTAGAAATAAAACTACTTCAAAGTAAAAAGTTTATTTTAAAAAAGAATACCTGATGGTGGCAAACAAAATAAGATACAAGGAAAAGAAATCATAAAATCCAAAATTCAAGTGCTACTTGGTGTGAACTGAAGTATAGTCTGAGTCCTAAATGAAGTAAACACCTATTTTTATGTTTTACTCCTTAAAGTATTCAGCTTAATGCCTTATACACAGTACACAGTAAATATTTACTGAAGGATATCAGAAGAGAATGATTTATATTCCTTGTTACTGGCACATTATACAAATGTCAGGAATTTATCACTATGTAAAATACATAGATGAAGACTGGAAAAAGACTATAGAAAAGAAAATAATTTAAGCGATGCACAGCTTTCTCTTTTTATTTTTGTTTGTTCTAATTAGTCATACATGATAGTAGAATGCATTTTGACACAAATGAAGCTCAACTTCTTATTCCTCTGGCTGTATCTGGTGCAGAGTCACTTCCGTAGTGTAATCATACATGTACATAGGGTAACAGTGGCAACTTTCTCTTTTAAGTTTACTTTTATGCTACACTGCAATTTTGGAAATAAATGAAAAATTTTAACACATAAATGCACACATTCTAAATCTAAATAGAGCCTGACAATGCAATGCCCTAGGACACCTCATGTATTTGTCAGTGAAATACACAAGGCTTGGATGTGACCTCTGCAGGCACCTAGACAGAGGGGCCTATGAGCAGGCCCACCTCCTGCTTACATTTCATTCCTATACCGTCTTCACCTTTTCCTCTTAAAGTTCACAAATACATGCATTTCATGAAAACAGGCAAGTGCTTAATGAGTTGAAAGAGATATCTAAACAAATGAACATTTTATGATCCATTTAACATCTGAAGGCATGGGGTTGGTGTTCACCCACCTATGTCTCATGACTTGAATGAAGTCCTTGCTCTTTAACTGGAAATACAGGTCTGTTATTTCCTCTGCACGACAAAGTACCACCTCTAGACAAAGCGTCTTCATAACGCCATGAAATTTTGGCAGCAGAAAAAATACGGCATTCAAGAACCTAATGGATGGTAAGAAGCCAGATGAGAGGACTGCTGCTGACCCCACCCGCCACAATTGATCCCATAACCCCTACCTGTCAGCCAGGGGAGGGAAACCCTTCACTGCTTTGTTCAAGCACACAATAAATTTGTCCTCCATAGTATTCTGATGTTGCTTCAACTGTTTCACAACCAGTTCACACACCGACTCCTCCAAGACCTGAAACATTAAGTTTCTTTCAAATACATAAAAATGGAAACTTATGTTAAGTAATGAAAAAAAGGTATGTCTTGGATATTTAAGTGAACCCAAGGAAGATGTCCAGTGCTATCTCTTACACCTGGGTTCACAAGGTGAATGAAGAAGGAAGCACTGGGAATGATCAGGAGTTTGTATTAACACCAGATAGTTCTGAGGCTCAGGGTTCTTGAGAAGGTCCTATGAGAAGAAACCAGGCCACATAATTGGTAGTGTGCTATGAGCTGCTTAATGCCCTTGCCTCCTTCTGACACAGAAATGCTGCAAGTAAATCCTTTGAGAATCTAAAATTAATTTTAATGTGTCTCAAATACAGTTTAGGACATGATTTATAATGTTCAGATCTGGTCAAACATTCATAGACCAGTTTCCAAACTACTCTAAGAAACAGCCCCTATCACTGTGTCTCTGCCTATCCCACTGTCTCTTTACCATGTATTACTGTGTTACCAGCAGCCAAGCCAGGGATCCCGGCTGGCTGGCTTTGGCCACCAACTGGCATTTGAAATAGGCAAAAGGATGAAAAAGAAAAAATGGACTTTATGCAGTTTGATTAAACTAGGGAGAAGCAGCTACATTGTTTCTCCATTGGTCTCACAGACAGTTACAATTCATAAAGACCAAAACCAGGCAATACATATATGTAGACTTAGATAGGCTGTGCTTAGTCAGACAATGTCAGTCTTAGTTTCCTTGGGGTCCGTCCTCATCATTAGGCAGGAATCAGGAAACTGCTTTAATTTCAAAGGGGATTTGTTTCAAATCTACTGTTAAATACTCATTTGCATATTATCTGTCCCCTCTGTAATTGTCAACTCTCTAAGGGCACAGATACGGCCTGTCTATTCTATGCTATATCTTCCGGGCCTGAAACTAACAAGTCCTCAAAAGTAGGAACTCAATATAGACAAGTACTGGACAGAGTCTACTGGAATGAATTTATGGAAAATGTTCACTTTCTTCATTCACGGCTCACTCACCTGCTTCTTCACAAAGACAGAAAAGGAGAAAGCAACATTTCAAAGGCACTAAGATCAAATGGATAGTTTTTCAATACAAATTTACCAGTATGAGACTACTTAAATTATGTTCCAGGAAATCCTTAACCACAAATTTCAGTGGTTTCGAACCCCGTGTAAAATATTTCAAGTATTTCCCTACTGATTCATATGATGTCTTTTGGGGTTGAGGGTGTATCTCAGTGGCAGGGTGTTTGACTGGCATAAGATATGTCCTTTAACTAAGAGTATTTAATCTGATGACAGGGTCAAAGTCTAGCAAGTAAAGAAAAAAGGTTATAGAATAGTACAGATAAAGCAAACAGAAGAAAGGGGGGCATATAAACACAGTGGTGATCAGAGCCACTAGAGCTAGGTGTGCAGCTGCCGAGAGTGACTTGGCAGGGAGAATGTGAACTGCTTGACTTACTCCTTTATATTTTATTTTTATTATCCAAATTTATTTTATTTTCTACACTGTCTATACCACTTTCATACTTATATACATGTGAAACAAAAGTGTTTATTATCCTTCTTAAGTTGAAATTTAAGTAATGAGAAAATAAATCTAGGAATCAGCTATAATGTGTTCCACATTTGGTGAAAATAAAGCATGTTACACACATTTAAACTTAATAATATATAGGGGCATTAGAATCATGTGGTAACAAGTTACTCTAAATTTTTAGTTTTTTTAATTACAAAAATAGCTGGTAACCCCTAAAATAAATTATAAGTGAAGTTTGAGCTTCCCAAGGGGGTCTGTTTCCTTGAGTTATTTAATTTTATTTTAAATTCAAATGAATTCCTAATCAGGGAAATAGACAAGGATCCAATCTGCTGTCTTGGGTCATTGGGTGTCCAATCAGGGTCACCCGGGCTGTCCTAAGCCTCTCCTAGCTGACTCACAGCAATCACAACCTGGACTCCAACCTAGTCTTTTCTGTCAGAAGGATGTGGAGTGGAGCTATGAATTTAGGAATAATGAACATAAAGGGTGTTTTTTAAAGCCATGAGGCTGGATGAGATAGGCAGGGAAGTATGAAAAAAGAGGACCAAAATGGGGAAAGGCATCTAAGGAGAGAAAAAAGAAGCTGTTAGGGAAGTAGGAAGAGAGCCAAGGAAGTGTCGAAGTAGTAGTTACCTGTGTCATCTGGCCAGACTGCAACAGGAAGACCCTGGGACCTGCGTGTGTGTGTGTGTCTGTCTGTCTGTCTGTCTGTCTGCAGTGCTGGAGAAGGAACCTAAGGCTTCACACATGCTAGGCAAGTGCTCTACAACTGAGCTTCACCTTTAACCCCTTCACAGAACTTCATCACAATGAGTGGCCTGCAGCAGATGTGTTAACATGACAGCATGCTAGGCAGTGCAGAAAGCCTTTCTCTGCTATACTTTGAGATAAATGATAACTTGTGGTCAACACAGTGTCCTTTGCAGCCATATATATATATATATTTAATAATTAATTTTACCTATTAGCAGAATACTGTGATCTGAATCTGCACTGCACTTAAATACTCACTTTGGTTCTCCTCAAATCCTATAAAGTATAGGCAGGGCACATGAAACTGGAAAAGGTCCCCTGAGAAGTACCTGCTCTGATAACAGATTTATTATTGTGAAATTTCTGAGTGGAGGATATGATCAGGATAATTTAGCTATTTACCAGGATAATTTTCTCCAAAAGGAAATCTTAAGACTAAATTCAGAGGAAGGCAGGCTAGTTAAATAGTTGCTTCCTGAGTTTTACAATGCAAAGTTAATTGTCAATCTTTAAATGTTTGGCAAAATACCAGGTGTTTAAAAGTCATACGTCTGGGCTGGGGATGTGGCTAAAGCGGTAGCGCGCTCGCCTGGCATGCGTGCGGCCCGGGTTCGATCCTCAGCACCACATACACACAAAGATGTTGTGTCTGCCGAAAACTAAAAAATAAATATTAAAAATTCTCTCTCACTCTCTCTTTAAAAAAAAAAAGAATTTTTTTTTTTAGGACTTGTTTGATTCCCAATACTAGGAAGGAAAAAAAAAAAAAGCTTGTTAAAAGTCATATGTCCTCTCTAAAAAACTGAGCATTGTATTTGGTATACAGTAAGAAAGAGGGTAAAAAATTATTAAATATATTGGTCCACTGTGTTGCGAATAGCATATAAGAAATACATGTATTAAAGATCATTACAAATGAATTTGAAAGGAAGCACTTAATTTAGAACACACTCACATTTTTTCTCTCAGTACCATATTGAAGAATAAGTCCTAGAACTTCTGCTGCTGCTGCATAAACCTCTTTATATTTTACAAAGGACATATTATTGACCAAAGCTTGAAAGTATCTACAACAAATACAAAAAATAAGTATGCATAAAATAATCTATTCTGATGTTTGACAAAAATATAAAAATTATCCTCATTATCACACTACTAGAACAAATTGAGAAATATGAAATACAATTGATCAACAAACATATGCAAAAATGTTCACCATCTCGAGTGATTAGAGAAATGCAAATCAAAACTACTCTAAAATTTCATCTCACTCCAGTCAGAATGGCAGACATCAAGAATACAAGCAACAATAAGTGTTGGCAAAGATGGAGGGAAAAAATACATTGCTGATGGGACTGCAAATTGGTGCAATCCTCTGGAGATTCCTCAGTATGCAGATTCCTCAGAAAACATGGAATGTTCAGAACTACCATTTGACCCAGTTATCCCACTGCTCGGTCTGTACCCAAAGGACTTCAAATCAGCATGTTATGATGATGCAGCCGTGTCAATTTTTACAGCAGTAGGGGAAGGGTGTGGAGATGGGAGGAATGCTAGAATGACATGAACATTACCACCTATATACAGATATGACCACACTACTGTTGTGACTATGAACTATGTTCAGCCAGAGGAAGGAGAAGTGTACAATGTGTCTAAATGCATTCTGCTGTCATGTATAACTCATTAGAACAAATTAAAAAAATAAAAACATTTTAAAAAGAAAATTTGAAGATAAAACATAATGCAACTTGCTTGTATGAGTATGTATTTAAGGCTACCTCAAAATAAAATTTAAAGAAAAAATAAATAAAAGTGCTGGGGAGATGGTTCAGTGATAGAGTGCCCCTGAATTCAATCCTCAGTAATGCAAAAAAAATTTAATTAACTAAAAAGTAAAAAATGTTAGTTTCAAAAATAAGAATAAAATATGTAACACCTCTTATCTGCTGAAACCTACACAAGAAAAATTCAATCACATTTTTTAAAAGATTTTTTTTAAGATGAACACAATATCTTTACTTTATTTACTTATTTTCATGTGGTGCTGAGGATCGAACCCAGTGCCTCACAGGTGTGAGGCAAGTGCTCTACCGCTGAGCTATAACCCTAGCTCCCAAAAATCACATTTTAAAAAATATTTTTTATTTATACATAGACACAAAATCTTTATTTTGTTTATTCATTTTTATGTGGTGCTGAGGATCAAACCCAGTGCTTCACATGTGCGAGGCAAGTGCTGAGCCATAACCCCAGCCCCCCCAAAATTATATTTTTAAAAAACTAAATTCCTCATTCACTCAAGATAAAGTTCTTGGGGCTGGGGTTGTAGCTTAGTGGTAGACTGCTTGCCTAGCACGTGTGAGGCCCTGGGTTCAATGCTTAGCACCACATAAAAATAAATAATTAAAATAAAGGTATTGTATCCATCAAAACTACAAAAAAATATTTTAAAAAAAAGATAAAAAAGTTCTTCTCCCAAATAACCTCTAAACCAAATCTTTTTATTTTAGGTAGATATTTTTTACATGGTCCTTACATATATCAAATCAAACCATGTTCCATTCTGACAATCCAATTCAATTTTTTAGTTTAACAACTAAAAAACAAAGCAAAAAAAAAAAAAAAAGACACTTACTTGAT